CAAGTGTGGGGTGCAGTTACTGAAACGCTTGACAAAGTCTACTGTGTATATAGTATATAGCTATATACTATATATTGTATATATGGTATATTGTATATATGGTATGTTGTATGTTTTATATTGTATGTAACAATAGATTCTGTATTTTGTATACATAGCGGCATGAAGTGGGGGTGTTGGGGGTGCTGCATCACCCCCAGTGGTGAGAGGGAGACTTTTTGTAAAATGTATGTAAAATACTTTGGACAATTTAGAGATTTCTCATGAATATTTTGGGAAATGTTTTTTGACTTTTCATTTTACTATTATGTGTATTTGGATTTTAATGTAATTATTTTTATGCCAAATCACAAGTTCACAGAAGTCATGTTGTCATGGCAACGTCAAGCAAGCAAATGGTCCCTGAGGCATCCTGCTTGCGGCAGCAGACTAGTAAATTTACATAGTCTATGACAGAAATGCATCTCGGATTTTCACCAGTAAAGAAGAACACTAATACCGCAGCCACGACAACTTAGAGCAGCTGGAGTGAGGAGGCTGTTCGTGCGCCTCTTATGGCAGTTGCATCAGTAGGCCCAGTTCCAGCAACCCAAGCTAGCGTCATTGGATTAGACAAGCCAACATCCAGTTTCAAATTTCCTGCACAGTGTTGTGGTAATGAAAAGTTCTGTGGCACCAGCTTGGTTTGCTGGATGGTAGTGACTGCATTATGTGGAAGAGACTGATCATATCTTGTGTTCGTTTGTCTGAAAGAAGTCAGAAAAACATATATATCTGTAAGTCTGTCATACTTACAGACAAATTTAAGAAAGACAACCCCTTTGTGAATGCCCGCTTTTCAAATTGGCATAAAGCCACAGAATGTTTTATTTTTTTATTGTCAAGTTTAACTAATAGCGCATATAGTCACCTGAGAACAGATTTATGTGATTATGTCTGTGTGTTACAGACCCTGGTTGCACGCACTGAACTGTATATGATGATAAAGTTGTGAATCTCCATGTATTAATTTATTTTTATGTATTGTTTTTCAAATAGGCCTATAGACTCATTTGTATTTTGGCAAAAAAAAAAGTCACAGCATCTCTAACTTCGAGCCGCCTTGTGTATCTAAATATCTAATTTGTCTGCATCATCAACAACAAGCAGCAAGTGCAAACTTACTTTGCAATAAACTTGATTCTGATTATTAGTGAAAGAGTACTTTGTTCAGTTATTAACTCTACCACTTGCTATTAAAGGAATAGTACACCCAAAACATGATTAGCCTTCATGTTCTACTCACCCCCATGCTGAACAACACTCTGGAGTACTTTTTTGATATCTCAAATGCATCTGGAGATCTGGGAGGCTTCTTGCTGT